GCATCAGGCGTTATGTGCTGCCCAGCGCATTGCAGATGACCACATATGAGGTACGGATAGATGCGCCGCATCTCTCTGCATATGCGGGCACGTCCCACATAGGGCGCATCATACTGCATATGCGATCTGCCAATTTTTTCAAAAATGAACCCCTTGGGCAGGGTTATTAAGATCTTTTTTACCCCCGAAAAAGGGGGGAAAGGGTTTGGGGGGTATTAAACCCCCCAAACATCATTTTCAGCCACACCAGGAGGCTACTCAGAGGAGACTGAAGAAGAAGAATATGTGGAGCCCGCCGAAGATGATAGGGATGATTATGCACATGGAGACTCTCAAGATGACTTCTCTGATTAGGATTTGAAAAATTGAAATTTAGAATCTCACTCTCAAGACTTGAGAAATGATGATGATTGTATTGACTCTTCTTGAGCTTAACTTTTAAACTCTTTTAGTTTGTAGTATTTTGAAACTTCAAAGTTTGTGGTTGTAGATTTGTGCTTATGGTTGGTTATTGTTGAATGTTTTATTAAGCAAGTTTCTAGTTTCTATCAGGGGATAGTGGATACAGAACCTTCGATAGCTAATACTTTTGGTGTTAATGAATAAACTAAATAACCTACTATAACATATATCACCTTCATATTTTTTTTATACATTAACTTATTTTTTTAGAATTTTTGTAAAAAAATTATATTTGTTGACCGCATCACGATGATGCACCTGCATCTAGACCGTATCAAGTCAATCGCCGCATCGGCTCCCCCCAACGCATACAACCACATCCCACATTTTAAAACACTGATATAAATATATATATATATATATAGAGAGAGAGAGAGAGAGAATGAGTTAGAAAGACAGAGCACAGTTAGAGAGAGGACTTAGGAAAAACAAAGAACATGGCATGGTTAGAGAGAGAAAAGGCACATTTAGAGAGAAAGGGCACAATTTGGTAGAGAGAACTTATAAAGAGAATGGCACAGTTAACGAGAGTAAGGAGTTAGAGAGAGAAAGGGCACTTTAGAGAGAGAAGTTAGAGAGAGAGCATGACTAGAGAAAGAATAGAGTTGGAGACAAAAGGGGCACTCCTAGAGAGAGGAGTTAGAGAGAGTGGGTATGAATCATGATTGGAGAAAGAATAGAGGTGGAGAGAGAAGAGTCACGACTAGAGAGAATTTTTAAAGAAAGAAGGGGCACATTAGAGAGAGAAAGTATATGGTTAGAGAGAGTTAGAGAAAGGAAGGGCACAGTTAAAGAGTGAGCAGATGACAAAAAGGCATTAGAGAGAAATTACACATTTCGAGAAAGAAAGGAGTTAATGAGAAAAGGGGCACAGTTAGAGATAGGGGAGTTAGAAATAGGAAAGGCATGGTTATCGAGAGAAGATTTAGATAGAGGAAGGCATGGTATAGTTATCGAGAGAAGATTTAGATAGAGGAAGGCACGGTTAGAGAGAGTTAGAGTTAGAGAGGATAAGGATGCAAAAAATAATGCAACAGGTGAACTTCCTAAAAAACAGGATTTACGAACTTCCATGGAGAGGATGGAAGCTGCGTATTCTCATTTCTAGAGAACCCAAAACTTCCTAATGCCAAGTCCCAATAGGACTTCCTGTTATCAAACAAGAAAGTGCTATAATAAATTGAAACTTCTAGTAATTAAGCGTGCCCTTATATACCCTGCAAGTCAATATCTGGAATCAAAATTCTTTCTCAAGCTTTTAGATTTGAAAACTATTAGATGACAAAGCTAAGTCAATTACATCAGTGCCAAGTCGTTCAACTGCATAATAGGACACGAATGGAAAGTTTGTCTTAAATATGCATGAAATTGCAAGTTGAGCATTTGCCAAAGAAAAATAAAGTTCAAAGTACAAGTAACTTCAAGTATCAAAAAGAATAAAAATAAAAGGAAAAATTACTGCGCAATGATCATCTTCGACTTTCCACTTCCAGAACTTACATTCTAATGCATTATACGATGGTTCTCCTGCTATAAGCTTTTCTTTCCTAATCCAAATGAAAGTAACAATTAAGGGCTTAAATTACCGTCTCAGATCAGTCTAATAGAGTTCTCTCAAATGGATGATACTCAACGAAACAAGTTTAATTAATTATAAAAAAGTATGGTCATATAAACTAACCTTGTGCTCCAGAGAATCCACAATGGGTAGTAGACAAGACGAAGTATGACCCACGATAATACAAAAAGAATGAACGCAAAGCTTGCAACTGATTCAGCACCACAATACTTAGACATCTTACCAATTTCCAAAAACACATCACTAGCATCATGTAGAGCTAAAACAACTGATCCAACGCGGGCGAACCTAAAAACAGATGTCCAGAATTATATCACATTATTAGGATGGTGTTATAAAATCCATATGCACCAACACTTGGATCTTATAGACAAGTGCCCAAACATGTAGAATGCAAGAAAGAAACACAAATAAAGGTCACCATAACAGAAAAGGTTAGAGCTTAAGGTGCAAACACAGAAAACAGCCATTTAATTAATAATACAGTTACATTAACCATGCTTGTGTTATCGTCTATACTTATGTTTCCATACTAGTATCCCTTTCCCCTTATTTTAGTGTGCCTGTGCTTCCTAGTGACTTGTAGTTATACATGCATCCGAACATTGTGACGTGTATATTAACACTTCCACGAAGTACCATAATTAATTGCCTAATATTTCCTTTTATCTTTGAACATTATGAGAGTAAGAATAATATACATCAAGTTACACAGAGTGCATCCAAACAGGCGCAGTTGCCATACAGTGCAACTATGAAGGGATTGCATACAGGACTCCCAGCCATAAAACATCTCAATCGATCTAGACATAACCCACAGCACATCAAAGAGCTCCAGAAGAGCACCAAAAATCCATCTATATGGGCACTGGATGGTTAAGTGGTCTGCTATCTCCTCGCCTCCCAACAACGAATATAAAACCAAGGGCCGCTTCTACAATTTTATAATAGCCCAGGGGCATTTAGTCATCATGCAATGAATATGTAAACAAGTAGTTTCCCCTCAAGCTCGAGGATTGATGCAAATCAAATTTAGAAGATGAGTTGATTGGATTTTATTTTAACTTTATTTTAATTGTTAATTTTTTAGGGGCATGGACATAATTTTTATTATTATTGTTGGCTGAATTTTGTACTTGAATCATGGGACTAAAAGAGACTTTGATTTAATGTATTGAGTAGGATAGCTACTATCCCCATTTTTTTGGATTTGCATGAATCATTCCTTGATTAGTTAGAATATTTCTAAAGAAGCTACATGTAAGGGATTTTGATGAGAGTGGAGCACGGGATAAGAGCGAATTCCTAATGATGGAGAAGTTTATCTCTAGGAAAGGAAGAGAGTGGGGGCAGTCATGTGAGTTTAAGATGGGCACAGATAACTAAGTGAATTGAAGGTGGGTTAGAGAGAAAGAGAGAGAAGAGGAGAGAGAGTTTGTGTGTGTGTGTGTCTTTTTTTTTTTGGGGGGTTGGGGGGTGTTGTAATATGTATTTAAAAGTAGGGACATTCCCCCTTTAGGACTTGAAATTCGATACTTTCTGTGAAGGGTTATTTTATGAGAGAAGAAATGAGTTTCTTCTTCCTTTTGACTCAATTCATAGCCATATCTCTCTCCTATTTGTTGCAGATTTTTAGTTTGTTCTAAGATCGAAAGAAAGCCAGAATTAATTTCCCGAGCTCCTTTCACATCAAATGGTATCAAAGTGACGTTAGAAGGGGGTTAGCAGCTACCACCGTTGGTTGTGGAGTTCGTGGCTGTGGAATGCCGAGCTATACTGAATGAACAAACGACTTGACAACTTGACAGAGATGGTTGCACAGTTGCTGCAAGGAGAGATCTGCAACTATGCGCCTCAAATGAAGAGGTTCCCACTGTGTTGGATCCAAATCGTGGGGATCTTGATGGCGATCGGCACAAATCGGAGTCCGGATCTAGGTTGGAGCAAGCTGATGATGTGTTCGATTATCCAATTTTGTTTGATGCGCTACGACATCAACATCAGCATGAATTTGAGGGAGAATCGAGCAGCCAACGACCCCAAGGCCAATGTGACCAGCGGTAGGGAGGAATCACGTATTCGGTATTGCGATGCACAAAGATAAAAGCAAAGAGAGTCCGATTCATGTATTGAAATTGATCCCCTTGAATCTTACGTATATCTTCCCCCAAAGCGTTTTTGGACTCATCGAGAATGGTTAAGCGCTTTTTCTATTCGAAAGATTTGTTCGATTCAAAGAAGGTCAAACTTGTGGTTCTTAAACTTAGGGGACTTGCATCAAGGAGATGGGATCAAGCTCAAGAAGCATAGATTCGAAAGAGCGAGGATAAAATCAGATCATGGACCAAGATGTAGGCAAGGTTGTGTCAGCAATTTCTCACACCAAGCTATTCACAAAATTGTACTAACAGTTTCACAAGTTGCAACACAATACAAGATCTATAAGGGAGTATTAGGAAAACTACCGCTTATCCTTGCATAATGGGTTAGCGGAGACCAAGGACCAAAAGGTACTGCATTATGTTTCAGGGTAGCGAAGTTCAATCCAAGATGAGTTAGCACTACATCATTTGCCTTCGTTGGACGCAGCCCATCAAGCTGCTCAGAAGTTAGAGGAACAACAAAGAGAAGGGGCAACCACATGCCGTCCACACCTAGAGCGGGACCATCACAAACCAGGAAGCTTGCACTTCCAACCCAAGGAGTTTCTGCAGTGAACGACAGCCCAACTGTCAATACCCGAGCTCGAACCCAAACCCAAGAGGCTGCTGCTCCAAGGTGTTTTAAATGTAATGAGGTGGGGCACTGAGCCATGAAGTGTCCGCTGAATGCAACCCAGCGCCATGCCAACTAGGCAGAGCCCGAGTATAACACTGAACCAGGGATGGACCATATAGAACACTCAATGACTGCAAACTGAAAATGAGACTAAGATTGATTATCCAGTCGACAAAGTGGTGGTTGATCAAGGCCAGAGCTTGCTGGTTAGACGTGTTCTCTCATTGTCACATGCAACCCAGGAAGAAAGTTGCATAAGGACTAACATATTTCACACCCGGTGTACGTGTAATGACAACATCATCATCGATAGCAGGAGTTGTGAGAACATGGTCGCTAAAGAGATGGTAGACAAGTTTCATCTCAAGGCGAGAAAGCATCCACATTCTTAAAAGGTTGCATGGTTCAGACATGGGGCTGAGGTACCTATTAGTTCTCGATGCTTAATTAAATCTTCTATTGGTAGTTTCTATAAAGATGAGGTTTGGTGTGACGTTACACCAATGGATGCCTGCCACACGCCTAGGTATCCCTGGCTGTATGATTGCAAAATCATTCATAATGGTGATTGTAACACTTAAACTTTTTGGCAGGATGGTCATAAGGTGATATTATTGCCCCAATGTGAGGGACTCCATCCAAATCTTCCAAAGTGGAGGGTGTCTCTTCTCTCACTGACAATTTATGGAGGAGAGTGAGGAGATCATGCAGATTGATGCTCTTGTGGCCTGTTTCAGTGAGCGAAGCCGTTCAACCACTTTTGTCGGTGTTTAAGGACCTAGTGTCAGACGTTGTGCAACATTGTATAGATCTTATACTTGGGTCAAGCTTACGTAACCTACCAGCCTATAATAAGTCCTAAAGAGCATAGTAAACTTCTGCGGCAGGTGGATGAGTTGTTGGCAAACAGGCTAATACGGGTTAGTATAAGTCCACGTGTAGCACCAGTTTTCATTACCCCAAGAAAGAAGAGTCATGGAGAATGTGTATAGAAAGCAGAGCTACTAATAACATTACCAATAAATATCGGGATGATATGCTTGACATATTAACTGGCGCTTATGTATTTTCAAAAATTGACTTGAGAAGTGGCTAGAGTCAAATTCACATAACAAAGGAGATGAGTTGAAGACCACATTTAAGACCAAGAGGGGTTATATGAGTGGCTGGTGATGTCTTTTTCCCTATCAAATGTGCCTAGTACATTCATGCACATCATGACCTGGTATTACGACCTTTTATTGACAATTTTGTGGTGGTTTATTTCAATGATATAGTGTTTCAATGTAGAAGCCAATGCCCATAGTGACCATTTGTGCTAGATACTAACAGTTAAAGGCTAAGAAGCTATACATCAAGCTCAAGGAGTGGTAATTTCTTGACCAATAACCTAGTATTTTTGGGCTATGTTGTGTCGTCAGATGGGCTGAAGGTGAATCCTGAGAAGGTGTGTGCTATAGTGGAGTGGCCAGTTCCGGAGTCAATGTCAGACGTTCGTAGTTTCCATGGACTTGCTACTTTATATAGAAGGTTAATCAGAAATTTCAGCAGTATTGTGGCCCAATTACTGAGTGCTTGAAAGGGGAAGCCTGCATGGAACCTAAGCTGCAAGTAAAGTTTTTTACACCATTAAAGAAGATAACGAAGGCTCCAGCGCTTGCATTGCTTAATTTCAGCAAGGTATTCAAGGTAGAATGTGATGCTTCTCATATGGAAATTGGTGTGGTGCTCAGCCAAGTAACAAGGCATGTTGTTTTATTAGTAACACACTCAATGAAGCATGAAGAAAGTATTCCTCATATGATGTTTGAGTTTTATGAGGTCATCCGAGCCCTAAGACATTGGCAATAATATATAGAGCAGCAGGGGTTATCATATATATACATATCATGATGCATTAAAGCACATCAATAGCCATAAGAAGCTTAGTGCACAGCATGCAAAGTGGGAGGCTTACTTGCAAGAGTTCCAATTCATATTCGACACTAGTTAGGGGTTCAGGATCGAGTGGCCGATGCACTGAGCCGACTTGCGCACTTTGGCTATGAAAGTCGTGGGTCTTGAAGCTATTCATGGAGCATATTTGGACGATCCATTGTTCAGCCCTATTGTATCGAAGTGCAGTTCAGGTGATAATTCCTCTCATTACCAATTCACTTTTGACTAATGAGTAATTGCTTTATTGCACGCAATTATGTATTCCTGATACTTCTTTATGGGAGCATCTTGTGTCGGATCTCCATGGAGGAGCGATATTTTTGGCCACAAATGAGGAGGAATACACATCAATTTGTTAACAGATGCAGAGTATATCAAGTGGCCAAGGGGCACTCAAAACACGGGCCCATACACACCATTGTTTGTCCCTTGTTTGTCCCAACTAGGCCATGAGTTGATTTATCCATGGATTTCATTATGGGATTGCCTAGGACTGCAGGTTTATGATTCAATTATGGTAGTGGCAGATCGCTTTTCTAAGATGACACACTTGATACCATGCAGGAGGACCA